TTAGTCAAGATTAAAAAACAAAATTATCATCTATGAGAAAAAGCACTTTAAAGTCTGTCTGCTGACCAAGTTTCTGTTTTAGGTCAACCTAAAATCATTCATAACTTTTTTAAAAATGTAGATAGAGAGATGATTTTTTCCAGTGAAATTGAAATAGTTTGAAGTTTTATTATAACCAATAAATGAATTTCGATGTTTTGGTCATTTTTTGGGTACTGTGACCCTATGTTTCAACAAAAAAAATATTTTATTTCAACGTTTTCTTTAGTAAACCAGTAAATACTATTATCTTCGAATGATTTCTGAATATATTTATTAATAAACTCTGTACCTTTACCGGGCTGTATTTTTTTTACCGGAATTCTTTCTTTAAACTGAGTTTAAAAGATTTTTTTACTTCCTTACCTGTTTTTTCTTTGAATAGGAATACACCAAGCATACTTACTAGAAACATCTATGACTGTTAAAACATAATTCCCTCCGTCATTATATTTTGTATATGGTTTAATGAGTAATAATTCTGCTTATAATTGGTCATCAATATGCGAAACAGTTAATCTTCTTCTAAATTTTCGAATAATTGGTTTATATCTAGTAGTGTAAAAATTTTATATATAGCGTAAAATGTTTTAAATTTCTTTTTGACATAAGTCAGGTTTTTCTTTTTAATTCATTAATACCAAAACAACCCTTTTCGGGATCATAAAATATCCTTCCTATTTCTTTTTGACTGGTGTTAGCCTTGTGGCTAAAAAACATTCTTTTTAGACTCACAAATTTCACATATACCTTTCATCATAAATTTTCCATTTTTAGAAGTTGCTTCGTGAGTATATTTAAGATTTGTATATTTTTTTGCTTTTTAGACAATATATATATCAGATTTTCCCATATCAAATGTCCTCTTAGCTTTTATAATGGGTTTAACTATTCCTCTTTCTAAATGGTAGGATTTAGTATTGCATCTAATTCTTCTACCATATTTTTATCGCACACATAATTATAAATTTTGTATGTTTATTTGCAGCGTAATTTACTCTATTAATAGGTTTTGAACATTCTTTATATTTTAAATATGGATTTAATCTTGTTTTACCCCTTTAATAATTGAGTTCCTGGACCTACCATCTAACCTGTCATCTAACTTCAAAAAATTCATATCCTTACCGACATTAGGGCGGAGTTCAACTAAATTCTCGCAATTACGGTAGCTCAATTATGCCAATCAGAAGCCCGTATTTTGCGATATGTAAAAAAAAAAAAAAAAAAAAAAAAAAAAAAAAANTTTTGCCATATGAAAAAAAATACAGGCTTTTCATTGGCCAAATTTATCCATCTTAATTGAGAAAAATTAGTTAAATTCCTCCCTAGAAAGCCAAGGATTTACGAAATATAGATTTTTTGTGTTCATACGATAGATTAATGAAGAAGCTAACATAAAACTGACGAATTTTACACTGAACTGATATTTTGTTTAAAAAAGCGTTCAATAAAGAAGGAAACTTAAAATAAACTTTTTACTCGATTTGTGGGGCCCGGGACAACTACCCCGTATGCCCCTGTCTTAGTCAGGCTCTGATTATGAATGGTAATTATATCTCTAGTTCTATTACTATATTTAAATTTATCTTTTCGTTATCAGGAATTTCAAATTGCTGTTTCTGATAGATTTAAAGATATTTTTCGTTTCACGAATCGAGAAATTTCTGCCTTTATTGATTGACATATTTCTGCTTATTTTAAGAGAAAAAACAAATGCAGTGACCGGAAAATAATAATGAAAACAAATACAGTACGAGTAATGATTCTGTAAAGTTCTGAATTTTGTAAATGAGTACAGAAAGGAAGAAAATTGTTTCTTAAGTTGTCTTAAAGGTCACAAATATTTGCGTATTTGGGTAATTAACGGAGGGGAAAAAAGAATTAAAAATTATTTGTATTATATACGATCACCCACAAGATCCAAAATGTTCGAAATTTGGAAAAATTTACATTTTTACAAATATTAAAAAAAAAATTTCATTTTCTTAAATGTAAATGCACACACTCTTATGGATTAGAGTCACAAAAATTAATGTTTAAATGTTATTTAAATCCATTAACCTCTTCTAGTCGCGCATTGCCAACAAGAGTGAATAAAATTTTGATAAGAAAAGTTACAAACAAATAAAGATTACAGTTAAAAAACACCTTATCTGTTTTTTTTTCTTTATTGAATACCAGTTTAAATGTTCGAAAATAAAATAGTTTTATCTACTAGAACTATTACAAAACATTTTTTTTATCAAAAGAAACTTAATTTTAAGTTTAAAGAAATAATGTTCAAAAATTATCCATCTCTGTTTTTACTCATTCTTAAGTTTTACTATTTAATTTGAAATCTGATGTATTATTGAAGTCTTTTTATTTAAATATCTCCCGCCCGCATAATAGCTCAGTAAATTTTTCCTGAGGCTTCAGTCACGTATTTCATACATTGTTCATCTGCATAAGTACGCACTTATATGGAATATCCTGTAAGTGTCTGGTATATCCAATCACAATGGATAATGCCACGTATAGATAAAAAAAAAAGGCATAATCATTTCCTCAAAAATTTCTTAAGAAATTTTAATTATAATTATTTTTTCCATTAGCGACCATTCAAATAATACGTTAGAACTTAAAAGGATGATTGATCGTGGATGAAATATTTCACAACATATTCTATTTCTCCTTAGTTGGTATTTTAAAGTTTTGATAAAAGCGATTACTGGTAAACCTAGAATAAACAAGGGAGTTTCAATAAGTGCAAATTTTTTTTCAAAGTATTAAAATGCAAACAAATTATGGAATGAGTAATTAAAATTAAGCAGTGGGAAAATTATCCTGCAATAATTCGTTAACGTATTGATTTTTTTTAATGATTTATTAATTCAGATTCAAAATTCTAGGTTTATCCAAACTCACCTTTTCTATACTTTAAATTACGTAAGTAATTTAAAAAGAATTTGTCATGAAGTATTGTCCCCACTATAAAGCATTTTCGTAATGGGAAAGAGATTTTTTATTTACTTATTTTTGATAGCTAAGAGGGGTAAAGGGTATAAGCAGTGTTTACGTAAAACACAATTTTTTTTTAAATAATAATAAAAAAATTATTAATAAATTACATTTTCAAAGTCGAAATAAAAGCTAAAATTGGGTAAATGAAAATTGGTGAAAAAGGAAAACACTTTTCAGCTAATGAACTTATTCTGTAATGAAAGGAGCTGCAGGTATGGGAGATGCTGAATGAATAGATAAAGAAATAACTCGAGATTTATGCTGAGTAGAGCAAAATAAGAAGAAGCAATGCCATAAAACGCAAGAAAAAATGGCTGTAATGACTTCGGACACCATTTGATGTAATGCTTTTGTGTTAAATTTAGATAACTTTTTACTTTAAATGTATGTTAAGTTGAAAAATTGACTTCTCCAAATTTTATAAAATAATTTAAAACTTAAAATTTTTTTTTTGCAAAATTGAATTTTTTATTCTATATTCTTAACCGATATAACGTTAAAAAATTGATATGTTTTGTCACATGATTTAGTGCGAAAGCACCAAAACCGGAGAACTGCCTATGGGTCATTTTCATAATTGGGTGCCTTTTTCTCTCCGCCATAAAAGTATTTTTCAGAAATTCTAAGGAGCTTCCAATAACTAATTTTTCACTCTGTCGTATTTTATAATTGTGTAAAATTTTTAAAATTACACAATGATAAAATAATAATAAATTAAAAATAAATTATTAATTTTAATTAATAAAATACAACTGTCCAGAAATTAATGTCATGTCATGTCTGTTTCCTTACAAATATTTACATTTTTATAACTACACATTCGGAATTCCTTAATGATAACAATTGCATATCAGAGAAGAATGTGTTGATAAGTTATGTTGATAGCAGATATGTTGATAACAATAACCATTTTGAATGTTCTTTTTATTTAAAAGAAATAGAAGCGTACGTGTAAAAAGTGTTTCTTTGCTATGTTATGTCTGTTATCATAATTAGTTGAATAAAATAAATTTATTTTTTTTTCAATAAGATAATAATTTAGTTTAGTGAAATTTTTTTCTAAATCTTTTAGAAATAAAAATTTTCTAAATATTAGATAGAGTTATTTTGCCAAAAGAATTTTTTTTTTCTTTGAAATGTCATGTCTGTTGCTGGTCATGGTTACCATATGTGATAATAGATATGACTTGTGTGATAACAGGCATGATCTTTTTGAAATCTGTAGAAGTGCGTATACAATACTTTTTATTTATATTTTGTTCACTGCACGAACAATTTGTCTGATGGCTATAGTGGGAATACACATCCCCACACAACAGAAATGCTACAAACTCTAAACGCAGAACTGTTTTTGCTGTGGAGCATGCATTTAAAAAGACTTTTTTCCAAATTCGTTATATTTTTATTATTACAGTTTTTTGCTTCATCATGTGTTCTGTTAGTTTTGGTTTAAAAAAACAATGGCCAACCTTTAACATTATATTATATTTGAAAAAATATTTGTATTAACTTTTTATCATGTTACACAACAATTCCCTTTTTGAAGCAAAATTGTTAATCATTTTCGCTATTTTTAAATACTTGATAATATTATAGTTTTTTTTAATAACTCCTGTTGCAACCTAACAAATTTGCTTATGTTTTCCTCCGTCTACCTCAATCGACGTAATATGAAATTGGAAGCCTCTGTGTGATGAAAAGAAAAACTACGATAATATTTTTAAGAAGAAAACTGAGTCAATCTTAGAGCCATTATGGATAATTTGTCTCTAAAAAATATTGAACCTTTAAATAATTGCAAGAGATAACTTATTGATAAAAAAACCCAAACGAGTTATGATTTAACTAATTTCGTTCTTAGTTTTTTTTTTTAATTATAATATTGTAAAATTTGAATACACGTTTTAAAGGCTTCTAAATGTTATTTATTCATTTATTTAATAAATACATCAATACAATCTTACATCCTTTTATTCTACATGATGATAAGTTGTGGCTGTATAAAAATACTGTTTAGCTATAATTATTTTAATCTTTACAGAAAATCATCTTCGATTTCGAGGTGTAAATCGTAGCATGATTGGTTCAAGGTTTCGAGAGAGGAAGCTAGCAGTAACATTAACTTTGTCTCTGGGATCCCTGGATGTCACTTCAAAAATCCGGAATATATGTGCAAGCACAGATTTTTGTTCCAGTATAGCATATTTTTGTCCTACAAACATTGGAAAGAAATGCTATTAGAGATCAAATTAAACACTATACGTCGAAAGCACTTTAATTATGCTTACTTTATTTCGAGTAAGCTAAAAAGAAAACTATTTTCTGTCAGTGCAAAATTATGTATCTAATGTAATGATTAGATAACAAGCATTATATTTTATGGCATTTTACGCCTGATAAAAGCAAAAAATAGTTTCCTCTTCAATTTTTTCGAAAGGAATTTTATAGAAGTAGAAGACATTTAGCATACATCGATTCATAATAATATCATAGAAAAAAATATATTGTTCATTTAGAATACTTTGCGGGATAGAAAAGTTTTTACTGTTGTTTGTAAATTATTTATAAAATAATTTATAGATGTTATTATTTTTTGCTTGTGATTTTAACACAAAATATGCTCTAAATTTTGCATGCAATTTGAAACTTAAAAACATTCACAATACAATCCACTGCAAGAATTAATTGGTCGGTGTCAATTTTTACTGCAAGAACAACGTTTCGCTACATCAAGCCTAAACCTTGATCAAAATGAACATAATTATGTTGCAGCATTTGAAATAAGAATAACATTAAATGAGTTGTGACGAAATAATCACAGTACGCCAAACGTAAATGATATTACGTACTCTAGGCAAGCTAATCAAACTGTATTCTAATGAGGAAATTGTGTTTATCTACTTTAAGGGATAGTCTACTTTAAAAGTTAAAGCTGTTTTGTGATCGGTATCTATACAATAAAAAACAACTTTGTATGACATAATTGAGATTAAACTAAGTCCAGCTCCAAAATTACTCTTAGATATATATTTTAACATCACACGTCATTTGCTATATTTGACTCTTCCATTGAAATTTATGCACATATGGAGAATATAAATTTAAAAAAATTGAATATTGTACTGTTTTTTTATGTTTTATTATGCATGCGTATATTTATCACTACCTAAACAGTTCCTCGGCCCGGCTGAGAAAGGCACATAGGCATATGGATGTCTTCCAGTTAAATTTTCTGGAAAAAATCTTTCTGGGTCAAACTTTTCTGGATCTGGAAATGATTCTGGATCTCTATGTAACCTATATGGAAAGATAAAGCAATCGGTCCCCTTCTTCACTTCGTAGTTCACTAGAAATTTAAAAATGTGTTTTCAGTAGATAAATAATTACAGCATAAAATAAATAATAATTGCAGAATGTAAAAGTTTTGTTTCCGCAGAGTTTAAAAAGTAAATTCAATGTCTGATTGGGTGAAGTTCTTTACTTATATAGATGTTAAAATATTAAGTTTACTAATACAAAAAATGGAAGATGATAAACAACAACAAACAAAGTTGATATCTTGTACGAAAGAAAAATCGGTCTCTTTTTCGGGGTAAATAAACAAAAAATTGTTAAGATAAAATTTCAAGATTAATTGAATTTTCTTCAAGGATCAAATAAAAAATTGTAAATAAACTGTACTAAAAATGAAGGGTTACTGAGGGTTACTTTGGGATTATAGAATCCGTGTCTTTCTTAAAACACTTACAGAAATGGATAAATTCCGATGTCTGTAAGTAAAAGATATACAGCCAAGAAGAGTCTGTTTAAAAATTAAATTTCACATACAAAGTAAAAAAAAAACTTCCACTGTCAAAGATTTTCTGCAAATTCCATGAGGATTTTTTATTTTGAGAGTAATTGATTGAGTGTTTGGTTTAAGAGCAAGGAATCCGAAAGAACATCCTGGTTCAAATATTAGGTTTCCAATCTTTATGTATGAGTGCCATCAGCTCATACATAAAGATTTACATAGATAAAGATCATACATAAACATTTACACATAAAAGTAGTAAATGTTTATTTGTTTGTTTTGTGGAAATGCATATACAAGAAAATTTTGTAAAGCTAAAGAATCAACGTTTACACATCTTAATATAGATTATCTGGAAACTTTTCATATTAAATTTAAGCTATTTTAATAAATTTTTGTTTCATAAAGTTAAGTTTTTATTTCTTTATTTATTTTTCGTTATACCCTTGGATTTAGTTAGAGACCGAATTTGACGAACATTTTTCAGTTTCATTAAATGGAATGGAAAGAATATGGAATCCACTGTAGTATGTTTTTGTAGCTTATATGAAAATTACTCACTATTTGTTATTCTGTTTCATGAAGGAAAATCTTTTTTAGAACAGTAGTTAACACTTAGTATTAAAATATATTTTTACTTACACACTTTGAAGTTTTCTTTAACTTCTCTAGCTATAAAAGGCGCTGAAGGATATAATCTAAGAGTCTCCTATTGCAATTAAACATGAAGCAATAAATCCATTGCAATAAACAATGACAGTATTTCGATATTGAAAATTTTCTAAATAAAAATTATACCTTGATGACACACTCCAAGTACTTCATACGCAATAAGTCATTACGTTCAATTTCTCTTTCATCATCACCCTTAAATATTTCATCTAATTCTTCTTGTATTTTATCCTGTACGTGTTTATATAATCCAACTAAATATAATGCCCAAGAAATTGCAATAGCCGTTGAATCATAACCCTAAAAATAAATTTTGAAAACAACTTACTGCTATTAAAAAATATAATATAAAAGTATTACGTAAAGAAATATAACACTGTCTTGTACCTCTCAATTTGTGACCCTGCAGTATTAGAATACGATACTTTCATTCGCGTATAGATGGCAACATTATAAAGCTGCTTAACACGAAAAAGTTTAATATTTCTCATATCTTATGATGGGTTAAACAACCAGATAAACCACATTTCACGGTTCATTTGAAAAACTACAACCTAACTTCATTGTCCATTACCGGAAGTTCAGCTAACATGTCTAGTTAAATTTCTTTTCTACCGTTTTGAAAACATGCAAGTTGGAAAAGGTTTCAAGCCCGTAAAGGTAAAAAATTTTCCCAACCGTAAACTTTACGGTTAATTGAATGGATAGACTGCTGCAGGATATTTTACCGTAATTTTAGAATGAAAATTCTAACAGCGTATATCTAATTTTGTGCTCTTATTTGCATCTTTTTCACGTTGGTTTTCTTTATTTATTACGTGGCATAAAGTATACCCTATCTTAATTAGGAAAAAAATACATTTAGAGTTATTGATTTCTGACACAAAAGCCTAAAAAGGATAGACAAAGCCTGTTCTGTTAAACATTGTTAGTATAATTTAAACTTTTGAGAAGTACTGGTGGTCAATAAAGTTTCAATGTGGAGTGTCATCCATGAAATAATATATAATTTCAAAAAAGAATTCTTTAAAATAAAATAAGCTTGTATTATACATTTATACTCATTTACAATACGATTGAAAAAAACTTACAGCTATCATAAAAGTATCCACTTCTTCTCTAATGTCGTCTTCCGTAAACGATGGATCTTTAAAGTGATGCTCTAGCAGCAATTCCAGAAAAGCTCTGCGATGTTTTGTATTTAAGGTGACGTCATTGGCAATCTGACCCACTTTTTGAATTTGTTTATTGTTTTCTATCATTTCTGACTTCTTCTGTTTTATAACCTAATTTACGTAACATAATAATAAAAAAGGCTAAAGGTTTAAAAATGTTCACTAATAGCATGAAGCTAATAAAAGTTATCACTGAGTACTTATATAATTTTAATATTGACTATTTTTTAATATTATATAATATATTATCAATTACGTTTTTTTTTTACTTTTTCCATATTAGTATAAGTTAAAACTACTATATATTTTTCCTTTTAATATTTCGTTAGTCAGCCCTGCAATTTCGGATTATGAATAAAATCATCCCGCAAACGGTAAAAAAAAAATCGCAATTTCCACTTTCGAAAAAGGATTTCGACTAGAAAATAGAAAGTGCAAAAATAAAAAAAAAATAGGTTATGTAGTCATGTACCTATACAATACCAGTTAAGCGGCAAATTTATAAAAGAAGTATTTAACACGTTATCTCAAATAAAGGTTATATCCGTCTGAATTTTGGTGATGAACAAATGACGGTTAAATCCGTTCTAAGAGTGTCTATAGTCTCAGATGAAAATCTTTTTAAGTGACCACTTGCACAAATTCTGGGGATGCAACAAATAACGGCTTTTAACATGTAAATGTAAATTATGTTTACATATTGTGGTGATCTAAATCCTTTAAAATCACATTTATTAAACAAGGAATCCAATATCAAAATACATGTTTTTTAGTATTATACAGTAATTTTTTTCTCTTATTATACAGTAATTTTTTTTTCATTTTCTATTTCAACATAAAATCGAAGAAAAATAAAACACAATTTTTTAAATGTCATGTTTTTTCTTTCTGATTTTCAAGATAAGGGCTCTTAAAAAACATGAAATGATTATTATTCCTTTTATGCATAAATTTTATGGTGATGATCAAAATAATTTGAAATTGCATTTATTAAACTAGAACAGAATAATAAAAAATGCATTTTGCTATTTAGAGAAACAAATCTACCTCAAAAAGTTAAAAGTATACAAATACGCTGTTCTGATTCAGGAATTTTTAACTGCTTCACTTTCGGTGAAAGATAATATATATTCATTGGCAAAGAATTAAAAACTAACGTTCGCAGAATTATTTTTCGAGATAGTTTGAACAAAAAAGTGTTATATCGCACCCCGGCAAGAAAAGTGTCATAAGTCGAAAATGCAGCATTTGAGAAAAATCAACTGAAAGAATACGATATTCTGAATTAGACTCAAAACAAACACAACAGCTCTCAGCTGGAATAATTGCGAATTAGAGATGTGATACTTTTTGAGCATGATGGGACACTTCATGCATATTTTTTATTGACATAACCTCAAAATTGCTGTTTTTCGACATGTGTCACTTTTCTTGCCAGGGTGCAATGCGCAAAATAAAAAACGGACAACCCTGAATAGCTTTTGATCTAATGATCGAATCTTTCTAGGACTCCATCTTAATGGTTTGAGGGGGTCACATCAAATATGCTTATTAATTAGTGCAGACGATATTTTAAGTTACGAAATCAGACACAAAAAACGAATCTTCACTAAATAAACATACCTTCTTTTTAGACCTTCACTGAATAATCATACTTTCTTTTAATATAGGGGGTAGCGGCAATTGGTTAAATATGGTCTCCATGTTTGGTCAGGAAAGCGATCCAAAGTTTGGACCCCCAAATTTTTTGCTTTTTTCACCATGTCTCGAGGACTTTTTAATTTGAAAAATCCTTACACACAATTGAAAACTTCATTCATCCAAAAATAAATCCATGCAAAAAATAAATTTTAGTAATTGTTTACTATTAGCAAAAGTCGAAACATTTTTAAATAGTAAAGTATGCAGTTTTTTATATCAATTTAAAGTGACTAATTTTACAAGGCAAAATACAAAATTTGAGTGAAATTGCTTGAATAGCTCCTGAGAAATCTAAAAAAATTGCACATTTAAAATTTGATTTCTTGGGAAATATTCAACCGATTTCGCTCAAATCTTTTATTTTGTTATGCAAAATTAGATACTTAAAAATTATTCACAAATATATGTACCAAATAATTCAAAAGTTTCACGACTGTTATTAAATGAAATAATAAATATTTACTAAAAGTTAAAATTTGCACGGAATTATCTTCGGATAAACGTAATTTATAATTGTTGTGCTAAGATTTTTCAATTTGTCTTAAGAGTTCTCGAGATATGGCGAAATACGCAAAAAATAAATCATTAGGGAGTTCAAACTTTGAATCGTTCTCCTAACCAGACTATAGGACCATATTTCCCAAATTGCGAACGACCCCCTATATTTTGGGGGTCAAAAATCTGAGCCTGTTGAACAAAAGGTATGTTTATTCAGAGAAAGTATGATTTGTGTCTGATTTCATAACTTCAAATTATTGTCTGCACTAATTAATTACGAGCCATTAAGATTGAGTCCTAGATCGTGAAGATCCGATCTTTAGATCAAAAGTTATTCAGTGTAGTCCGTTTTTTATTTTGCGCACTGTACGTATGAGATGTTTATGCGTCGTGGTGGGAAAATTCACTTTAAATCAAATTTGCTAAATCATTAATCATACTATGAAGACTGAAGAATATCGTTGTCGACAGAACGAAGCTGGTTGGCTTCTCAAAAATGTGCAAACGTAGTTCTTCTTATTCGAAAAGAGAGGGGGGGGGAGGGAAAACGTATGGAATAAGTACTCCTAAGTATTTTGAGAAAATGTTGGTGTTGAGCCACTTACTTTTCTTGTGATGGAATGAACAAGGTCTACCTTTTTGTAAAATTGTCTACCAGATGGAGATATTCTAAATAAAAAATGCGGATGAAGCCAAGGACTCAAGACGCGGCTTACAATTATAGCAGACGCTCTAGAGGGGGAAAAAGAATAAAAAATGAACATTCTTTAAAAGTATTTCTTTGAACAATGCAGAATTTTTCATAATAAAAATATTGCTGTCAACCTTTTAGTAGTAACTTACTATACATAAATTTACTATACATAACTTACTATGCATAAATTTACTTAAATCATACTATACATAAACTTACGATACATGAATTTTTATACATTTAAATACACTATACATGAATTTCTGTTTTCAATTTGAATCAAATAGAATTGGAATGTTGTTTGATAATTACAAAACAACTTTTTTTCTTCTAAAGATGGAATGATTCCCAGAAGTCATGCTCTACAAATTTTAGCAGAATAAAACTCAAAACTATGATTAGAATTCCAACTCTGCAGGGAAGAGAAATCACTTTTATTAACTTTCACGTTTATTATCTTCATTTTTGGCATATCCCTAACGTTCTTTAAGTCGATATGTGAGGTTAAAATTAATTTGTTCAACGTACGCAAGATGTACGCAAACGTACACTGTTGAGCAACTTTATAAATACCCCACCGATTAATAGGAGATTTTTTACAGATATATTTGCCACAGGAGAAAACTATGCTATAAAATTTTTAGAACTTAATCTAATGCCATTATTAGAATAATTTTGCACTGTCTTTAACAATATATATA